TGTTTTTTGTCCCTTTTTTGGGTTTTTCTTTATACACAAAGGAGATTTTCTTTAAAAAGGTTGTTTGTTGTCCCTTTGGGTTGGGGAGGGGAGTTTATTGTTGGTTGTTTTTTGGATTTTTTGTGCTTTTAGGGGGGGGGGGGGGGGGGGGGGGAGGGGGCAGTATAGCTACTCCCTAGGGAATACTCCCTATAAAATAAAAATGGCGGGTAATCGTTGCTGTGGTACTTTTTGGGAAATTGCAAAAGATATGGAGCCAAAAAAATATTCGAACTATTTTGATGTTACTCAATGGTTTGACTTTTGGTACAAGCACAATCAGTTTTATAAGGGAGATCCCCACCAACCTCAGGATAGTTCTTTTTAGTAAACTCCAACTAGTGGTGTATCATCAATGCTGAGTTCTGATTGGTTGAGTTACTACTAGGCTATATGTTATAGCCCACTAGTAGTGAAAGCGCAGGCTTTTTGGCAGTTGTTTTGTCTCGATATTTTTGACCAGCTAGTTGGATTTTACTTTTTATTTCACAGCCTCTGAGTCAATAGCCCATTTGGCCTTCAGCCTTCGGCCTCATGGGCTATTGACTCAAGAGCCCATTCGGGCTCGAGGAATAATTGTTAAATATGTATAATGTTCAGCGCAGGTCTCCATGTTGTTGGATTGTGGAACCCCTGTTAGGGGGACATGCTATTGTGTTTGTATTATCCGGGTGTCCATAGAGCAGGGTTCTGCTGTAGTTATTTTGCTCCTGATATTGTGAAATTTGCATGTTCAAAGGTTAAGTGCCCTTATATCCTTTTTTTTAGTAATAACTATGATCCAAGTTTTACTGTTCTTTGTTTTAACTCTTCTTATTTAATTGTTTTGTTTCTTAAGGTATGGCAGATGTTGTTCTTGTTAACAGCAATTTCACAGCAGATACATTTGTATCAACATTTACAAGTCTACGTAGCAATCGACCTCGTGTCTTGTACCCTTCATTAAATTTTTCATCATTTGATGACTCAGTTTTGCCTGATGAGAGTGACGACCTTGTACCACCTAAAGCAAAGATTGTGTTCTTGTCTATAAACCGTTATGAGAGAAAAAAGAACTTAAAGTTGGCGTTAGAGGCACTGGACTGGCTCAAGCATGTTGTCACTGATCAAGAATGGAAGGATGTTCATTTAATTATGGCAGGTGTGGTCTCTATTCTTTGATTTACAGTATAGAACATTACTGTGCACTATTCTTTTTGGAAGAGAAGTAATCAACCTACCTCATTGTACAATTTATCAATTGTTTCAATGCAGGTACATGTATTACTCTAAGGAAAATAAAAATGCCTTTACTTTGTTTATTCTAACATTTCATATGTTTATTTCAGGTGGCTATGATGACAGGGTTGTAGAAAACAAGGAACATTATCTTGAACTTCGCAAACTTACAGACCAGTACCATCTTACCACCAAAGTGACATTTGTGAGGTCATTTAGTGATGTACAAAAGCTGACCCTTCTGAATCGCTGCACGTGTTTACTTTATACGCCGAGTCATGAACACTTTGGTATTGTTCCTATTGAAGCCATGTACATGAAGAGACCTGTCATTGCTGTCAATAGTGGAGGTCCTTTGGAGACTGTTCAAGATGGTGTGACAGGGTTTTTGTGCAATCCCGATGCAGAGTCCTTCGCTCTTGCTATGCAAAAGTTTGTGAAGGATCCATCCCTTTCTTTAGTGCTGGGTGAGGCTGGAAAAGAAAATGTCATCAAGAAGTTCTCTTTTGATGTCTTTGCAGAACATCTTCATAACATTGTATGTTGTTTGTTCCTGTTGGAGTTTGATGCCTATCCTCTTGACTAGGTTATAATTTTTGCTTTTCCACATTGAACATCAGTTACATACGTACAGTCTTGTATTGTAGTTGTAACCTTGAGGTGCAAAAGAACATTTATAGTTACCATTTAAATAAAATGTCTTTTGCAGGACTTTCTCTCAGAACTATTAAATTTTTGATTTTCAGAATTTTATGAAATGAGAAGTTGGAATTTTTCTTTAAAGCTTTTTGTGGAAAGCCCAAGTCTACAAAATTAATCCGTTGATCATTCTTCTCATTTGACCACAAAGTTACAGTCAGAATCTAAAGCACCTACCCACAAGACAGGCTCATATATACATTCAGATTGTTTTAGAACTATTTCTAGTAGAACCTCTCCTTACAGACATCTCTATTATGGACGGACAGTGCACTTACTCACACAAAACACTAAACTTCATTTTTCTTCCTGCAATGTACCTCTATAATAAAGACAGTTCTCTTCTGTAATACAGACCTTGGGTCTTTCCTTCAGTGTCTATTATTAGGGAGGTTTGACTTAGTTAACTGAAAAAAGCCGAGTGTGAGGTCCAAGTATATTCAGTTAGGCTGAGTATTTGAAATATTTCATGTTATATGGTATACTGAAAACTTTCTTCACTGTCACTGTTGTCGTTATTTTTTAATTAACAGGTCACAGATGGAGAACAGGCTGGAAGAGCATGTTCAGTGGCTGTAACATGTTTTCTAATGGTCATTGTATTCTCAGTGGCCTGCGCGTGGGTGCTTTATTTCTATCATTGACTGACAAGTGTCTTCTAAAGGAAACTAGAAGCATTTTCCCTAGTACAGCTGTATCATAAATCAAATAAATTATTATTAGTGTTAGGTCCCAAGACTGTATGCTATTGGAATGCACTGGTTTGACATCTAAGAATGGATACAAGTAGAGTTAGTGCAGCATTATCATTTGATTGGCAGTGGGGAAATAATTTTGGCACTAATTTCATGATTTCCATTGAAAGATAAAAGTCAGTTAAATTACCTTTACAAACACTCTTAGAAATGACTTGTGGGTAAAGTAACTTTATTACGACATAATCCACAACATAATCCGTACAATGTATTGTCTGAAGTTGACATATGTCCTTGAAAATATATTATCAGTAAAATATGAATTCAGTGTAATAACATTCATTCTAAAATGAGATAGAAAAAATAAATAATAAAATGCTAAATCTGTTGAAATTAAAACTGTATCATTTCAACTGTTTCAAAACAGTGTTCAGGATTTTCTTTGACTCTGAGACTTTCATTTGGTAACTTAAACCACATTTCAGTGGGTGATGGTGTTAAAAGATTACTACTGGTATTATTTCGGGTCCTTGGCAGTATTTTTTCTACGAAGGGCTGATGTTCTCTTTATCTTCATTCTGATAATTATTGCATTGCATCAATTTTGTTTCTCTCTGTAACCTTGCATAATAACGTAGGACATCAGGATGAGCTTGCACACACTTGCTGTCAAAGTCCAGAACTCTAAGTCCTTGCAAGCTTCTTGCTCGTGAAAGGGCAACATATGCTTGTCCATACTCAAATACTCTTGACAATGAGATTTCAACACAGTCCAATGTCATACCCTAAAACAGTTCAATAAAAAAAGTCATCAAGCTGATCTAAATAGCAGTCACACTTTACTTAACGATGTGCTAGGCTTATTTTAGATGCTGATACTCACGAAAACTCAGTCAAGCTTTTTAACAAATTAGATTGGCTGCCTATAGATGATAATTATTATACGTATTAGGAAGCTTTATATGCATCATAAAATAAATCAAGGACATTGCCCGGCTTATTTTAATAAATATGTTGAACATATAAGTAACACCCATAATTATAACACAAGATCCGTTTCCAATAACAATATTACAACACCAGCTTGTAAAAGGAACTCTGGCCTTAGAACGTTTCACTCAAGCCCTTGATCCCGAACCTAAGACACTCTCCCATACTAATTTTAAAAATTACTTATTTAAACTTTACCGCAGTATGATTTCTTTTCTTGATCATTTTAAGAAGTAGTTAATTAATTAATCGATACATTTTATTACTTTAATTGTAGGAGGGCCATTATGAAAACTACTGGGTGACCAGTAATCAATGTCTTTACCCTCGTTAAATAAAGTTATTACTTACTTACTTACTTACTTACTTAAACTGAGAAAACAGCCAACATTAAATTTTGCAAAGCTACCATTGGTTCTCCTCTGAAATGATGTCTGAGGAACAAGCGCAGAAGTTCCATACTGATGATGTGTCATTACCCAGATTGGGTAGT